AAAAAAAAAAACAATATTGTCAAATGCAAACAGTAGAGAACTTGTTTGGTTTCTGTTTCTTTAACTCAAAGGAAATGCTGCATCTAGGGCTGGGTATTTGAAATCCAACCGATGGGTTACTCGAAAATCAAATTGAAAAAATGAATGTGGTTTGGTTTAAATGGTTTTTGATTTTTATTGTTTTGGTATTAATTGAATCTATTTTGGTTCGGTTTTAATTGAACCTTTTAAAAATTAAAAACAAAAAATAAGCTCTTTAAAAATTGAAATTATGATAAATATGGTAAAATATAATAAAATATGATAAAATATATGATAAAGTATCATATATTATTAGAAAAATAATTAATTATTATTTATTTATCATAAATCAAAATTAAACCGATTTTATTGATAATCAAACAGATTAATTTTTGATAATTACGTTTTGATTTCGGTTCTCAAAATTAAAAAAAAATTAATTATTTTAAAACCGATTTCGGTTTTAATCAAAAACCGATTTTGCCCACCCTAGCTGCATCTTGTTGCAGTGCCTGACGCCGCTGTCAGGCACTGCAACAGTCCTTTGATCCATCTTGCTAAAGCCGTTGGATCAAAGGCCTTTCCTTTTTTCTTTTTCTTTTTTTTTTTCTATAATTTTCAATTCAAAATCTTGTCATTGAGGAAATTTTATATATTAAAGAGAATATATTCCGTTTGGTATTTTATTTAAAAATTAAATATATAAAAACATAAATTTATATAAAATAATATCAATTCCGATGATTTTACATCAAAATAAGTTTATTCATTGTTTCCCATTGCACATGCTCTTATAGTTCAAACTATAAACTATAAAATATCAGTTACTAATATTAAATTAGTGACGTTTTGTCTCACTGAATGGAGGGGCTCTAGGGCTGCTTCTAAATTTGGAATGAGTAAGGGCTTGTTTGGTGGAGTTTCTAAGAGTTTTAACTTTTTGATATTATTTATATTTCATAAGTTTAAATTTTTCTCTTAAAAACTTACATTTTAATTTTTTTTTAATCTTAAAAAGACCTTAAACAGTAAAAATTCAAAAATTTTAAATTCAAACTTTTTATAAATTTCTTTTTTACTCACTTTTCACTCACTTTTCACTCACTTTTTTCTATCTCAAAAAGCAACTTTTAAATTTTTCTTTAATAAAAATTTAAACTTATTACTTATAACAATAATAAAAAAAAAAAGCAAAAACTCTTACAAGTCACACAAAACTAATATGTCTAATTTAATATATTTTAAAAAACTGATGGAAAGAAAAGTGGAGAAACTACTATTTCTATCTCTTCTTATGTTAGAAACTCCTCATAATTCAATAATTAATATTTTATAATTTTACTTATAAAATACCTTTTTATTTGAGATATTAACACGATACTCTTTTTTATTCTATGCCCAATTATATGATTATGTGAGAGCAGGTGGGCAACTGCAAACAAAATCAAGTTCTTAGTAACCTAACTTCTGTCCGGCTTAGTTTGGATGAAAATTTTCTAAAAAATATTGTTTAGTAAGGTTTTGTTTGAAACAATTGTATTGTAAACTTTTCCTATGCATGAGAAAAAGAAAAGCATGTTAGTGTGCATTCCTTTTGTTGGTAGGCAAAGCAATGTGAAAATAGAGAGAAAACAAAGAGGTTTCTGATGGAGAGGAAATAACTAATAATTACCTTTTGACGTCGTGAAGAAAACCCTTTTGTAGGGCTTGTTTAGTATAGTTTGTGGAAATGATTTCTTAGCTTCAAAAGTACAAGTTACACTTAGATATTACAATTAATAAAAAAATATTATAATTTCTTATAAGTTAACATTTTTTTTCATTTCATTGTAAATCTCAGAAGTATTGAATTAATATCTTTACAAGAGTTTTTCATTTAGATTTTAATGAAATTAATACATTATTTTTATTCTTTTATTTTTTTTTATTTATAAAAATAATACTTATATAATAATTTTTTTATGATAAAACTTATATTAAAAACTTCAATTATACCAAATAAACACATAATCTAGTTGTCCCTTTATCATTTTCTAGTGTTAATGCCAATATGTCTAATCTACAGAGAAACCACAATACCAACTTGGCAGAGCAATTAGATAGTGCCACATGTGAGTGAGATAAGGAGGGCTTGCAACAGTCACTGGGCTCCTGGAGGGATGTGTAGAATAGTGTCTAATGTGTGAGTTATGGGCCACACAATCCTTTTCCTTGGCCACCAAGTTGGGCGAGTATTGCACATGCCATGCTGTGGTAAGGTATCCTACAAACCAAGGATCAATGATTGTTTTCTTGAAAACTTAAATACTAACTTGAAATCTTAAAATTAAAAGAATTTTGTCACGTATTAAGAATATTTTTTATGTTATCAAAGAATAAATGAGAAGTTGTCGATATCCTTATTAAATATAGTGCTTTTATAGCACCTGATCCTTGAGGTCTAATGGCATTAGTTATCGGTGCATTCTTTCCGAACAAGATTCAAAATCCGTCCTTTGCAAAATATGTTAAAAATATATATATATATATATATAGTGCTTTTATAAAAGAGGCTTTTGTGACATTTACCATCATGATTTTCTTTTGTATTTTTAGTTTTAAGGGTTTATTTATTTTGTGTTTTTGAGGTATAAGATAAATAGTATTAATGATGTAATAATTATTATTTTTTATTTAAAAAAATAGAGTTAACTTTTTATTTTAATTATAAATGTAATATTTAGGTTTTTATTAATTAATTTTAAATGAAAAATTAGAAGTTATTTTATTAATATAAAGTTTTACTTTTTTTTAAGTCATAATTATTATCTAATAATAATTTTTTATCCTGTGCCTTTTAACTTTTAAGGTATAAAATAGACAAATTCTAATTTTAACTATTATTAAAGTGGTTATCCTAATTATCTTTTATAAAATATAATTACTTATTCTAATAAAATTCCTATTTGCACCAACTAAAAAAATGAATATATGAGAAAATTTTATTATTATAGTTATTATGTGTGAATTATTTCTCAAAAAGTTCTTCCAGCTCATTTTTGTATAACCAATATTTTGAAAAATTGAGAACAAGTATTTAAAAATAAAATATTTGGGGTCTTGCCTGTCAAAATCATATAAGCTTGAAGCCTAACTTCTAAGTTTTCCCCAATTTTATTACTATTAAGTACTCATTAGATCCGTGATCTACCCGTTTCTTCCATTAACTAATTTTATACTAAGAGTATTCAATTAATTAATTAATTAATTGCTTCCCACTAATTAAGCTTGATTATCGGACTGTATCTGGGACTTCCGGTCTTCCACTTTCCTTTTTCAACTGTCAATGCCATTTATTTATATCGCCAGAAATAACGGTACTCTTCTTATGCCACTGAAAATCATTAACGTATCATTAATGAATTGGCAACGCCACCGAATTAATTGGTATTGTCACGTAGTTCTTACAATCATAACACGTAAGTATTTTAAAATTACAATTATAATTTATTTTAAATTATATAGTTACGTATAATAATATAATAATA